GCAACCGCTACCCCCTCGCTGCTCCTGTCCGGTCCCCCCTCGCCGCCACGGTCCCGGGCGCCCAGGTCCTCCCCGCCCCCGCAGTGCGGGGTGCGCTGGGGATGGAGGGGGGTGATCTGTCCGTCGGGGAATGGTGGCCGCGGACGGACGGGGACAGCTGCCGGGGCTGGAGGCGTCAGGCGGGCACCGGGAGCCTGGACTGGGCGCGCTGCGGGGCTCCCCCCGCGGCAGAGGGCGCCCCATCGAGGCTGGCGGCGGGGGGCGAGCGGGGGGGTCCCGGCCCTCCCGTCCCGTCCCGTCCCTTTCCGCGGGTTCTGGCAGCGGCGAAGCGGGCCGGGGCAGCTCTTCAAACCGGGCCGTCACCGTTGCCCTCGCCTGGGGCCGGGGCTATATTTAGCGGCTCGGGAAGGGGCCGAGGCCGTGCCAGAAGGTGCATCGCAGCGCCCCGCCTGCCGCAGCGCTGACCGCGCTCTACCGAGGACCCTGGCCAGGGCTGTCCCCACTCCCGGTGGGCTGAGGCTGCCTCCAGCCATCCCGGAGCGGGGGGCAGGAGGACTTGTTCTCCACCTGCACTGGGACGGGGCATGGACCCCATCACGGTTCGCAGCACTGTGCTGCCGGGGAATGCAGGAGCAAGGAGCCCCAGGACCCCTGGGCAGAGTCCTGGTGTCCTCTGGGAGCAGGGGCACTAGGGCTAGCAGAGGAGGGATGCCAGGGGCAGTGGAGCAGGCCTGCACCAGCAGGATGGGAATGCAGGAGGCACATCTGCAGCTCACAGCCTTCTGCCCACATGGTTTTGCCGCACAGGATGGGACTGCATAGCTTGAAGTGTATCTGTGCTGCCTTGGAGACTGCTGGGCTTCAGCCCCAGCCCTCCCTGGCTGCAACCCACTCCCCTGCATTCCCAAGCCCCCTCACCCCAGGAGGCTGAGTGCTTACCTGGCTCTGGAGAACCAAGTAGGTGGGTTTCCCTATACTGGTTGCACTGTATGGGTGAAGTACATACTCCCCATCAGCTGAGCACCTTGCCGGGCTGCTGTCGTCTGGGGAAGGAGCTGGTAGTGTGGCTGGTGCAGGGGACCTGGGCCACCTCTGCTCCATGTGCTGCTGGAGGACAGCCCTGGCCAGAGCCCATGGGGTTAGTGGACCCCAGCAAGAGGGACACCAGAGCTGGCTCACAACCCAGCAGGAAGCCTGCCCATGGCTGAGGACAATGACAGCCCTGTTGGGCCCCTCAGGAGCACGCAGGAGGTCACCCAAAGGAGCATGTGCTATCTGGGACCACTGGCAGCTCCTATGCTGGTGGCTGTGTGGCACTGGCACAGGCAGATCCTTGCCGAGGCAGGTAGGACAGTGATATGCTGGGATCTGACCCTTCCTCCCCCTCTGCAGCGCGAGTGCATCTCCGTCCATGTCGGCCAGGCCGGCGTCCAGATGGGCAACACGTGCTGGGAGCTGTACTGCCTGGAGCACGGCATCCAGCCGGATGGGCAGATGCCCAGTGACAAAACCATTGGTGGAGGGGATGACTCCTTCACCACCTTCTTCTGTGAGACCGGGGCTGGGAAGCACGTCCCGCGCGCCATCTTTGTGGACCTGGAGCCCACCGTGATCGGTGAGTGCTGGAGTCTGCATGGCCTGGGGGGCACCCATGGGTGGGTAGCAAGCAGCTGGTACTTGTGGTCTGCTGTCAGCATCCTGTACTGGGTTCAACCTGAGGGCCCTTCTTTCCCCAGGAGAAGCCACAAGCCTGAGCACCAGTTTTTGTTCTTGAAGTGTCCTAGAGGCAGCGGTGCTGGTAGTCTCTGCTACCACATGTGCACAGAGAGAAACCAGCCCAACCGGAACTGCAGCTCCTGCTGTGCCGCTACAGCTCCCGATAGTGGGAGAACCTGAGCTCCTGTGCAGGGAGGTGACAGCCACCTCCTGCCAGCGAAACCTGATGCGGGTGGTGGCCCTGGTGACATGTGGGTCCTTGGACATGGCCCTGGCAGGCGGAGCCTGGATGAGGGATGGGTGCTCACACATGCTCCTCTGCTTGGCGCACAGCTCAAACCAACAGCCTCTGCCAGGCTCAACTCTCCCCTGTCTCCCCCAGATGAAGTTCGGGCTGGAATATACCGTCAGCTCTTCCACCCAGAGCAGCTGATCACCGGCAAGGAGGATGCTGCCAACAACTATGCCCGTGGGCACTACACTATCGGCAAGGAAATCATCGACCAAGTGCTGGACAGGATCCGGAAGCTGGTAGGTGACTGCAGAGGGGGTACCTGTCCTCCTTCGGCCGAGATCCAGCATCGTGCTTGGGCTCAGAGCACACTGCGAACCCTGCTGTGCCCTGAGACGGATCTGGAGCAGCCCATGGCAGGGTTGGACCAGGTCCTGAAGGGTCTCTGAACCATCTGGTATTCACAAAGCAATCCACCTCAGAGCAATTTCACACATTTCTCTCTGCAGGCTGACCAGTGTACAGGCCTCCAGGGGTTCCTCGTGTTTCACAGCTTTGGAGGTGGCACCGGCTCTGGGTTCACCTCCCTGTTGATGGAACGACTCTCCGTTGACTATGGGAAGAAGTCCAAGCTGGAGTTCTCCATCTACCCAGCACCACAGGTCTCCACTGCTGTGGTGGAGCCCTACAACTCCATCCTCACCACACATACCACCCTGGAGCACTCAGACTGCGCCTTTATGGTGGATAATGAGGCCATCTACGACATCTGCCGCAGGAACCTGGACATCGAGCGCCCAACCTACACCAACTTGAACAGACTCATTAGCCAGATTGTCTCATCCATCACAGCATCGCTGAGGTTTGATGGGGCCCTGAATGTTGATCTGACCGAGTTCCAGACCAACCTGGTGCCCTACCCTCGCATCCACTTCCCACTGGCCACCTATGCCCCAGTCATCTCTGCAGAAAAGGCGTACCATGAGCAGCTCTCAGTGGCCGAGATCACCAACTCCTGCTTTGAGCCATCCAACCAGATGGTGAAGTGCGACCCTCGCCATGGCAAGTACATGGCCTGCTGCCTGCTGTACCGGGGCGATGTGGTACCCAAGGACGTCAACGCCGCCATCGCCACCATCAAGACCAAGCGCAGCATCCAGTTTGTGGACTGGTGCCCCACGGGCTTCAAGGTGGGCATCAACTACCAGCCTCCCACCGTGGTGCCGGGGGGGGACCTGGCCAAGGTGCAGCGCGCCGTCTGCATGCTGAGCAACACCACGGCCATTGCCGAGGCCTGGGCTCGCCTGGACCACAAGTTCGACCTGATGTACGCCAAGCGAGCCTTCGTGCACTGGTACGTGGGGGAGGGCATGGAGGAAGGGGAGTTCTCCGAGGCCCGGGAAGACATGGCAGCTCTGGAGAAGGATTACGAGGAGGTGGGCCTGGACTCCTACGAGGACGAAGAGGAGGGCGAGGAGTAGAGAAGCCCCCAGCACCAAGGACCGTGCTCCTTCCCTGTGTTACCTGCAGAAACCCTTTGCAATAAACGGTTTCAGAGACCCCGTGTCTCCCACTAACCCCCCCGCTGTCTCGGTTTCTTGCCAAGTCAGGTGTGTGGTGAGTGCTTCAGCTCTGCTGCTGGTGCTGCTATGCTTCCTCCCAGTACTCTGCCAGCTACAGCCTTGCTCCCTGCGCAGGTAAGAGCCCCTGGGTCCGCTCTGGGGGCCGTGGCACACATCCCACCCCACTCACTGGTCCAGCTGGTGGTGGGTATTGCTTCCTTATGTGGTGTATGCCCTGTGGTATATGGCTCTATGTTGTACCCTGGAGCTCAGGGGAGCAGGTTTAGCCTGAGCAGGAAAATACTGGTGGCTGCTGAGACTTCTCCCTGTTTGCAGCCTGAGGATATGAGGGCCTATCTTTAAGGATAGTGGTTAAAGCAGCGGGAGCAGCCTGGCACCCCTGTCCCTGTGGCCAAAGTGCACGACAAGCGATGTGCTCGGCTCTGCGGTGCAGCGGGTTCACCCCACAATATCATCCAGCATGGCATAAACCCCGTGGCTGCTTTACTGCTGTGTTGTGTTGAGAGGATTAAAGGTGGGGAGCACTCCCTGTGAAACTGCTTGTCTGCATCTCTTTTTTTACTCCCCGTCCATGGGCAGCCCATCTGCTGCACATCCCAGTGAGCATTTCTGGACAAGGGTGCTGTTGGGCTGTGGGGTGCCCGCAGGCTCTGCTCAGTCCCATCCACAGCGGCAGGGCTCTGGCAGCTCCCATGCTGGGCACCAGAGAAGTTCTGCCTGTACTCCTGCCACTGCCTGCCTGTGCTGTGCCCCTGCTTGTAGTGCCCAGCCCCAGAGGCTCTCAACAGCAGTGCACGGCTGCAGCTGCAGAGCTGTGACTCCCATCAGGAGCGTGCTGGGGCCATGGATTAACTTTCCCTGCTTACTGCTAATGCTCTGGCTGTGCCGGCCCAGTGGGGCTGCCCTTTGCTGTCCTCCACTGTCCTTCCCCTTCAGCAACGCTTGGCTGCTTAACCCAGACAGCGTGCCCTGCTCTCCTAATGCTCCTGGTGGGATCCCCTCCCCGTAGACAGGGACACATCCACTTCTGCAAGAACACCTTTTACTCCAAACACAAGGCAATCCTGGTGCTGGGAGCAGTGGCAGAGCAGGTGCTGGAACCCTCCACCTGCTGCAGCACAGCACCAGGACCCCGACTGCAGCTCTGCCCCGGCAAGGAGCAGCCCTCCTGGGGCACAGCAGCACTGCAGGGCCACTGCTGCCATCACCCCGGGGAGGTCCCACAGCACGCTCCTCTGTAACCCTCAGGGGCAGCCAGAGCCCTGTGTTTAGCAGCAGGTCACATGTCCACAGTTCTGGAACACAGACCAAGCCCCATGCAGCAGGATCCAGGGCACAGAACACTCCAAATCCAACACATCCCAACAAAGAGCAGCAGCTCTCCCCTGACCACAGCAGTCCTCTCTGCAATGGCTCCATGGGGCAGCAGGCATGAGGCAGCTGCTTTTCCCCTGGCTCAGCTTCAGGGTTCAGATCTGTGTGGTGTCCTGTCCTGCCGGCACTGGCTGCAGCCCCTCCAGCTGGTGGAGGATCTCATTTATGCTGGGTCGCTCCTGGGGGTTCACTGTCATCATGGAGGAGAGCAGGCGCTGCAAGGCAGCCGAGTACCTGGAAAACAAATGGCGAGGGGGGTGTCCATGTGGTGTGCAACACAGGAGGCTGCCCGGGAGCAGGATCACACTCCTGAGCCCCTCACCTGGTTGTGGAGGGCACAGTGATGGGGTTCTGCACTGCCAGAGCCACGCTGTCGCCCTTCTGGAAGATGGCATCATAGGGGCCCTCCCCAAACATCATGCAGTACAGCACACAGCCTAGAGACTGGAGCATGGTGGGGGGTCAGAGCTGTCCCACAGCAGTGGGACAGGGACCAGGGGTCCAGATCCTTACCCAGATATCCGTGCGCTCATCTATGATGCACTGGCTTGGCACCGTGAAAAGCTCAGGGGCACGGTAGGAGATGGTGCAGCGCTGGGCAGCCCAGTCCTGCAGAGAGGAGGGGGGTGAGGATGAAGGGCCCAGGAACAGGACGGGCTGGTCCGGTGATGTCCCAGACAACCCACCTGCAGGGCCATGGCCTCCCGAGAGTTGCTGACTTCAATGCGAGCTTGGTTCATGGAGCCCAAGTCCATCAGCACAGGGCAGTCATCTTCATCCAGCAACACATTGGTGGGCTTCAGGTCCCTGTGGGGATGGATGTCACCCGCTGCCCGCTCAATCCCCTGCCAACCCCGCAGCCGAGGCTGCCAGCCCTCACCTGTGCGCATAGCCCTTGCTGTGGATGGCTTGCAGCCCGCTGCAAATGCCATGGAGGATGAGAAGGATTCGCTGCTCTGGCATGAAGGTCCCTTTCTTTCGCAGTGCTTCCACCTCACTCCAGAGGGTCCCACCCTGGCAAATGCAAGCAGCCGGTCACCACAGCTGCTCCTGGTGTCAAGAGGGTGGGGGACAGCTCTGGGACCTCCCATCACCTTCACATAGGGCAGGAGAAGCCAGGCTTCATGCTTGGCACCCTTCTCCACCATGCAATGGGCCACCAGGCGCAGGATGTTGGGGTGGTCGAAGAGGCCGTGCATCTCCACCTCGTGCAGGGCGGCCTGGTGGTCCTCCTTGTCATGGCACAGGATGCGCTTCAGGGCATAGAAGCGCCCGTCCCGCAGGCCCTCCACCAGGTCCACATAGCTGAAGCCCCTGCAAGGTGAGGAGCACAGTGTGGGTCAAGCGTCACACTTGTGGCACCCGCACCAGGACCCTGTGTCCAGCTTCAACTGTGAGCACCCAGGGGAGGGGAGCAGGGGGCAGTGGGTGCCTGCACCCCTCTCCATAAGAATACCCCAAACATGCACATTCCCCCTACCATGGGGACACATGCCAGACATCCAAAGTATCCCTCCCTCTGCATGAAGAACCCCACTGGTCCAATCGCCCCCACTCCTGGGCATGACTGAGCCCTGCCTCCTAGCATGATAATACTCTGCCATACACAAGCACCCGCTATGCTCAAGCATCTTCCCACACCATGCCCAAGTATCACCCCTAACAAGCACAAACACTGCCTGTGTTCAAGCATCTTTGCTCCATGCTCAAGCATCCCCCACACACGTAAGCTTACCCCCCCGCCTGACCATCACCCCCATGCCCAAACATTTATGACTGAGCACACCCTCATCCCCCATCGCTGAACACCCCCTACGTGCGCAGCAGCCCCCCCATGCCTGAGCATCCCCCCGTGCACAAGCACCCCCATGCCCGAGCAACCCCATGCCAAACCATTCCCCCATGCCCAAGCATCCCCCAATGTCCAAACATCATACCCATGCCCAAGCATCCCCCCGCGCACAAGCCCCCCCATGCCGGAACATCCCCTATGCCTGAGCATCCCTCCCATGCCCGAGCATCCCCCCCCACGCCCAAGCGCCCCCGGTGACCGAGCCCCCGCCGCTGCCGCTCCGCTCGCACCCCTCCGCCAGCCGGTGCAGAACCAGGTACCGCGCTCCCCCCAGGCTGACGGTGCCGCGCGAGCAGACGCACAGCGCCTGCCCCATCGCCCGCCCGCGTCATCGCCCGCCGCCGCGCGTCACCCGTTGCGTCACCGGCTACGTCACCCAGGGGGCGGGGCACTGCCGCCTGCCCGGTGCCCGCTGCAGCGCGGCGGGGATCGCAGGTTCGGGACCAGGCGGGCTCGCTCAGCATCGTGACCGGGGTGGAGCGCGGTGCGGGAGAGCAGCAGCACCCCCGCAACCGCAGCTGTAACCGAGGCTCCACCACCTCGCTGATGGAACAAGTGGGCTGGGCTCCCTCGAGGGCGCTTTGACTGGTGGTGACACTTAGGAGACTCCTTGTCCACCGCCGTGTATCACCCACCACCCCGGGGGCACCGCGGATGTGCGGAGCTGGCTCGGGCTGTGGTGTGCTGCCCACACCCCATGCTGGGTGGGCTCTGGAGGGGGTGATGTGCAGCTGGGACCACGAACCAGAGCTGCTCACCGGCTATGCGATGTTCCCCCCCCCCCCCAGGCTGTGCTGCCGCTCCCGCTCCCTGCTCGTAGGACCAGAAAGAAGCGGCCGGCACCGGTCACGAAGGATCATGTGACGGGGGATGTCCACGTCCGCCTTTGTCCCTCCTCCCGGGCCTGCCAAGCGCCCAGCAAGGATGGGGCTTGCAGCTCTTGGCCTGCTGCTGGCGGCGGGGCTCCTGCACGGGCAGGTTAGCAAACACGGGTGGGAAGTCTGGGAGAAGTGAGCGGGGCTGAGCTGTGAAGGATGCGGTGGGATGGCTCCCGGGTCTGCCGTGTCTCTGCTCTTCCTGCTATGGCTCCTTCTGCTGCACAATGTCCCGCTTGCACTCCCTGCACCCGTCCCCAGCTGCATGCATCCCACAAACTGCTGCAAGCCCAGCTGCAAGAGGTTTGATTAACGAGGGGGGCCACCAGGTGCTGTAAATGACTGCCCTGCTTGGCCCTCCTGCTCTCCCATGGTGTCTGCCTTGTCCCTGCACCGAGGATGGAGAGTCCTCCCCAGCAACCAGCCCCATCAGTCCCTGTCCCAGCATGGGAGGGGGTGGCTGGGCTTCTGGAGGCTCTGCAGCCCCCCGAACACTGCCCCTCTGCCTCAGGCCTCCCCCCTGTCACGCTCCTTCGAGCTGGATTATGAGGAGGACTGCTTCCGCAAGGATGGTGTTCCTTTCCGCTACATCTCGGGCAGCATCCACTACGCCCGTGTCCCGCGCCCTGCATGGAGGGACCGGCTCCTCAAGATGTACATGAGCGGGCTGAGCGCTGTGCAGGTGTAAGTGACAGGGCACAGCCCACACCTGCCCCTCAGTGTCTCTGGGGTTCTCGGGGCAGGGACAGAGGCAAGGGTGCTGTGTAATCGCAGTCACCTTTTGCTTTGGGCTGACTGCAGCTCAATGGAGACCCCTGCCAGACATGCATGAGCCTGGGCTGGTCCCAGTGCATCCCCATTTGCCATCCTCTGATCAGGCTGGAAGTGAGCTCCCAGGAGCAGAGGGACCAGCCTGTGGGATGGTTCCACATAATACTGCAGTGCCCATAGCCCTCACTTGCTGATCTTTCCTCTCACCCCAGCTATGTCCCCTGGAACTACCACGAGCCACGGCCGGGGGTTTATGACTTTGGGGGGGACCGGGATGTGGAAGCTTTCCTGGACCTAACAGCAGAGCTGGGGCTGCTGGTGATCCTGCGGCCGGGGCCCTACATCTGTGCGGAGTGGGAGATGGTGAGCCCCAGATCCCAGCCTGGCACAGAAGGGTGATGCATGGGTGCTCCAACTCTGCTGCCAGGCCAGCCATGCCCAGGCTGCTGCCATGTGGCACACATGGCACTCTGGTGCTGAGCATTAGCAGTGCACTGACCAGGTTTCGGCTGTGTGCCAGCGTGGGCTGCTGAGCAGTTCCTCTGCCTCCCTCCCTGCTGTGCATGTTTCCTCAGGGTGGCCTGCCCTCCTGGCTGCTGTGGAAACCGGACATTGTGCTGCGCTCCTCCGACCCCGGTGAGCCTTGCCATGGGGCTGTGATCACCGTGTCTTTAGAGCCTGGTGCCAGTCCCCATGCACCTGCCTGCATGGTCTCCCCCATCCTCTTCTATCTTCTTCCTGTGAAGTTTGTCCTCCACCTCCCCTACCACATTTGGCCCTGCCCCTTACTCCTCCTGGCAGGGCTGGCTGGGGTGGACCCTGCAGCCAGGTGAGCTGTCCTCTGTCCCCCCAGCCTACCTGGCAGCTGTGGACTCCTGGCTCCATGTCCTGCTACCCAAGATCAAGCCACGCCTATACCAGCATGGGGGGAACATCATCAGCGTACAGGTAGGGTGCTGTAGGGGCTGGCCCCCTGCCCTCTCTGGGTTGCCTTTGGATGTGCCCCCAAAAGCCACCTGTGCCCCCTACACCATGACCTCATCTGGCACAGCTCGCTTAGATAAATCCCTCCCAGCCTCTAGACCTGCCTTCAAATTCAAGGGCTGGGACTCTGGGGTACCCACTAGAACCCCAGTTGTGGTCTGAGGGACACTGGCAGAGCTGGAGGTCATGGTGGGACTGGAAGGTTGCTCTCAGGATCCACCTGGGGGCTGCCCTGACATCTGACAATGTCAGGAGGGAAGGGGGCAGCTGGGTGCTCGTCCCAGTGGGCAGAGGGACGTGCATGCTGGGTGCCAGCCCTTGCCCTGTGTGCAGGTGGAGAACGAATACGGGAGCTACTGGGCCTGTGACCATGGGTACCTGCGGCACCTGCTGGGCTCCTTCCGGGCGCTGCTGGGGAGCGAGGTGCTGCTCTTCACCACCGATGGCACACGGGCAGAGGAGCTGCACTGCGGCACGCTGCAGGGGCTCTACGCCACCGTCGACTTTGGGCCAGGTACCCCTCGGCGTGGGGGGCAGGAGATGGGGTGAGAGTTCCTGCTCTGTCCCTCTCCAACCTCCTTCCCTGCACCTCCCCAGGCTCCAATGTGACGGAGGCATTTGGAGCCCAGCGCTGGATTGAGCCAAAGGGGCCCCTGGTGAGCTTGACATTACCCACCACTGTGGGGGGCAATGTCATGTGGCTGACAGAGGGGTGACAGGAGCTCTGGGCAGGTGACAGTCTCTTTGGTCCCCAGGTAAACTCCGAGTACTACACAGGCTGGCTGGACTACTGGGGGGAGGCTCACGCCAGCACCAGCTCGGTGCATGTGGCCCGGGGGCTGGAGGACATGCTGCAGCTGGGAGCCAATGTCAACATGCAAGTAGTCAGCTGGTGGGGCACAGCCTGGGGGGGGGGGGGGGTTGCCCTCCCATCTGCAGCACTGGAGTGACCATTGCTGCTCACCTTCTTCCCACAGGGCTCAGCAGGCAGGGCTGGCACTGGGCACAGCAGGGCATGGTCAGCCCCTGCTGGGTCTGTGGGATGCTGATGGGGCTCTCTGGGGTGTCCCGTAGGTACATGTTCCATGGGGGGACAAACTTTGCCTACTGGAGTGGTGAGTAGGTGCCTGCACTAGGGAGGGGGTGGATGCTGCAGTGCTGGAGGGCTTTTCTTGGCTATCTCTGAGGAGGCTGCTTTAGGCTCCTGTTCTGTCCCATGGTGTGTTCTGACCCAAGCGCCCCTGAACCCAAGCTTGTCCCTCCCTTGTCACTCCTTTTGTCCCCAGACAGAGAATCCCAGTTCTGGGTCATGGCCCTCCAATGCAGAGCTCACTGGGTTCCATGCCCTGAGCTCTGGTAGAGCCCCTTCCTCCAGCTCCCATCGCTTCCCTGGCCAGGTGCTGACTTCAAGGACCAGTACAAACCAGTGACCACCAGCTACGACTATGATGCCCCGCTCTCGGAGGCAGGAGACCCCACTGAGAAGCTGTTTGCCATCCGCACGGTCATCAGCAAGGTGCTGAGCCTGGCAAGAGGAGGGGGACAGTACTGGGCACCACTGCCCGCGCTAAGGAACAGCAGGACAAGGAGCTGGCAGGGAAGAGGGTGCCTCCTGCTTGCCCTGGGGGGCAGCTGATGGCTTGCTCTTCAGTTTCAGCCCCTGCCAGCCGGCCCGATGCCACCTGCCACCCCCAAGTATGCATATGGCTGGGTGGCCCTGCAGAAGGTGAGCGCCTGCCCTGGGGGCTGTGCTGCCCTGCCTGGCACCGCACAGCTGCCCAGTGCCCACCCCTCTCTTTGCAGCATGCTGACCTCCTGGATGCCTTGGATGTGCTGTGCCCCTTCGGGCCCATCCGGAGCCGGTTCCCGCTCACCTTTGAGGCCATAAAGCAGGTAGGGGATGGATGCGGTGGGGACACTGAGGGAGATGCTCCTAGGCTTGTTTGCCGTGCCTTGGCTTTGAGGTGGAGGATCAGAGCTTGTCTTCAGCCCTGTTTCCCTTTCTGTACCCTCTGCTGTGTCCCACAGGCCCATGGATTTGTGGTGTACCGCACACAGCTGCCCCAGGATGTCCCGGAGCCAGCCACGCTGGGCGCTCCTCCCCACAGCATCTGTGACCGTGGCTACGTGATGCTGCAGAAGGTGAGGATACAGGAGCACAGCCATCCCTCACCCAGTGCTCAGGAGGCCTGTGGGTTCTGCTGGCAGCAGGGCTGTGCCATACCAGCGGCTCAGGAACAGCCACGGTGCAGAGCCACACTGAACCCTTCTGGGGCAGTCCTCTGGCACAAATGTGCCCCCTTCGGCATTAGAGGGTAGCCCTGGGCTGGCTCTGGGGAGCAGGATGTTACAGTGGCAGGCTGTCAGCAGGGTTTGGGGTGGTGGGATGTGGGCATGGGGCAGAAGTGCTGACCTTGTGGCTGCAGGAGTACTGTGGGACACTGGAGAGGGATGGGCAGACAACACTTCGTGTGATGGGGAAAAGAGGGGACACCCTGGATGTGCTCCTGGAGGACATGGGCAGGATCAGCTTCGGGGCCAACACCAGTGACTTCAAGGTGAGGGCAGTGGGTCCTGGGGATGGCCTGGCCACCTGTGTGGCCAAATAGCCCCTCTCCTGCCATCCACAACACACCTTGGTGATGGCAGGGCCAGGCCAAACCTGTTTCCTGGTCAATCTCACGCCACCCTTGGCAAACCTACCAGGATAAGGCTGTGAGGTGGGCACCCCTCTCTCCCATTTACACTGCCACAGCAGCCAGGGCCGCATATCCCCTTGGAAGTGATCCCATTCCACCTTCACTGCTGAGAGGGGCACATGCCCTGGGGAAACCAAGGGTGCTCCTGCCCCAGCACAACCTGCTGCGTCGTTTTTCTTCCTGCTCCATCTCAGGGCTTGCTGGGGAACCTCTCTTTGGACTCCAGCCCTCTCAGCAACTGGCTGATCTATCCCCTGGACATAGACACTGCTGTCCAACAGGGCTGGCCCCATGCTGCCCTGCCAAAATCAAGCAGAAGGGGTAGAGCAGGGCCAGCCTTTTACACTGGGACCTTTGAGACCCCTGGCATCGCCTGGGACACCTTTGTGAAGTTCCCAGGTTGGAGCAAGGTAAGGCAGTGTGTAGCCAGGAAAGGGAGTGAGGGTGGAGAGCACCACAGCTCGATCCCATATTTATCTTTCAGGGCCAGCTGTGGATAAATGGCTTCAACCTGGGCCGGTACTGGCCCCGCCGTGGGCCCCAGCAGACCCTCTTTGTACCAGGCTCAGTACTGCACGTTGGCCGCCCCAACAACATCACGGTGCTGGAGCTGGAGGGTGCACCCTCCACTCCTCTCTTGCTCTTTCTAGACCGACCCCTTTTCAACAGGACCCTCAGCCACAGCACTGGAGCCACAGAATAAACACTAGGCTGCCAGGCAGCAGTGTCACCTCTTGCTGGGGCTGTAGAGATGCACAAGGAGGAGCAGAGGGGCTGCAGGGCCCTCAGAAAGGGGCACATGTCCTGGTATGGACATCCCGAGCTCCTGCCCTCCTCTGGGGCAAGGCAGGAGGAAAGGGGCCCAGGACTGAACTCTTTTGCATGTTAATCCCACACTCATCCCAAATAGTTCCAGGGCTCATGCTGACTCCCCCACACACCTCAGGGGTCAAGGCACCTCTTTTTATTGCTAATGCCAACAGAGGAGGTAGTTGCTAACATGATACAGCCAAGACACTAATGGCATCCAGGAGAGGGGAGGGCAAAGCACAGCCTAGATGGTACCCAGAAGCATGGCTGTAAGTAGCCCAGAGCTGCATGGTCTGCATGTGTCAGGCTCTGTCCCACCACCACATACAGCAGCCTAGGAGGCAGCCATGGGAAAAGCTGGCATCAGTACACGTGCCACAGAACAGTCCTGGCCCCTCACAGTAGCCCATGGGAACTGCTCAGCTGTAACATCCCCACTGTGACACTCATGCCCAGAGCCTTGCCAGTTGCACCAGTGTGACGTGGCCAACTCAGTCCCTTGGACCAGCACTGCTCTGCAAGCTCTAAATGCCTCCACCCCACCGGCCCTTGGCAGGTAGCAGCAGCCCCCAGCCTTATGTGCGGGCAGCCTGGGCCCGGCGGTGTGTTTGCAGGCAGGCTGTGGAGCAGAAGGAGAAGTCGAGGTAATGGAAAGGGATCCGGCCCAGCAGGGACTCTCCACAGTGCCAGCAGCGGCTGCAGGACAGAGCAGAGGTGGCTCTGAGTGAAGGGGTCACTTGCAAGAGTTAGAGCAGAGGATTCACTGCCTGAACTGTGACATGAGACACCAGGAGCATGGTGTGAGGCACTTCAAGGCAGGCTGAACATGGGGGAATCTGGCCCCATTAGGGGTTGTAAAGCCCCTGCCCAGAGCAGCATGGGAAGGGCTGGCTGCCCATAAGCCTGTGGGGTGGCACAGGGAAGGGACATGGTATGTGAGATCAGGGACAGGGGCACAAGAGTGGCTGGGGGTTGGCTTGCCACAGATCTGGCTGCAAGCGGATCAAGGTGACCTTCACAAAATATCGGGGGGGTGTGGGGGGGGGCAGGGCACGAGGGAGAAAGCTTTTCCACAGGGATTAATGGGAATTGAGTGGACCAGAATAGCTTTAGACTGGACATGAGAATTGGAGCAAGAAGGGCAGGGAACAGCTGTGCTGGCATTGGAGTTTGCTGTGCAGTGATGCTGCTGGGGCTGTTACCTGATGTTAGCAAGAGTTGTGCCAGTGTCCTGCAGCTGCACAGCCAACCTCCGCTCGGCAGCCAGTGCCCTCTGGGGAGCAGAGACACAGCTTAGCCCCCCGCAGAGCCCACCACACTGTGACTGCCCCAGCTGGGCTGGCTTCCTCATGCATGGCCTTACCTTCTCCCTGTCGGACAGGGCTGCGAACCGCTGCTTCTCTGCCTGCTCCTGCTCCTGGCGCTGCCGCTCTTCCCGCTGTGCCTGCTCCCGCTGCTTCCGCTGCGCCTTCTGTGCCCGCTTCTTCTCCAGCTTCTTGGCCTCCATCTCCTGTGTCAAGGGCCCTGGCACCTGCGGGCAGAGGGCAGTCAGTATCTCCCACTGAGCCAGGAGCAATGGCACAAGTGAGCAAGAGGTGCTTTGTTCTGGGCTCCCCCAGCCCCTAGGGTGAGCAGAGGGCAGGCACTCACCTTGGCACGGCTGTAGTCGTACTTGTCCGGGTGGTCCACCATGAACTTGCGGAAGGTGTTGCGGGTCAGTCTGTCAGCAGAGACACAGTACGGGGTCCTCTCCTGATCATCTCTGAAGACAAGGAAGACCAGCTCACTCTGCTGTCCCATGGGGCTTTGAGCCCAGTGACTCCCCAGAGATGTGCTGCAGGCCAGGCTATTGCTGCCAAGGACGGGAAGTTGCTTATCCTTGCAGCAGAATACCCTAAATCCTTCCCTTTTTGCATCTCAAATGCCCTGCAAAGGGTGGTCTGATCCCTACCCTCTGGACTGCCTACCAATAAACCTGGGAGCACTTTGGGGCAGTGCCTGCCCACTGCTATATCAGACCAGGCATGCAGAGAATAGTGGTTCAGCTCTTATGCCCCTGTAACAAACCAAGACATCCCATCTGGCAGACACCAAGCCTGGCTGCTTCAGGACAAGGCTGGCACCAGTCTCCCTTAGCTGAGACAGGAACACTGGGCCCCCACAGCAGGGTTGTGCTCCTCAACCACTGGGCACCCTGCAGCCGTACCTGATGGCAGGGTCCGCCCCCGCCTCCAGCAGCAGGCACACAGCCTCAGCCCTCCCTGCCCGCGCTGCCACGTGAAGCAGGGTGCAGCCGTGCTCATCCATGGGCTGACTGAGCAGGGAGCGTGGCATATCCAGGGGCTGTGTGTCCTCCCCATCCTTGCTGGCCCCTGACAGGGCCCCGTGCTCTGGTACACCCAGGAGGTGTCGCAGCATCCCCACATCCCCCGTTTTGCAGGCAGTGAACAGGGCATCACGGAACTGGGTCTGAGGGTCGCCTGCAAAGGAAGAACAAGAAGGGAGTCTGATGGCTCCCTGAGCAGAATGATGCTCTGGTATGACTAGGAAGCACACATGGCAGTTAAAGAACTGTCCTGCTAGCTGGATTTGGGCACTGCAGGATCTCCAGCACCATCAGTCTGTGACAATGTATCGTGGCATTGCTGGGCACTGCTGGCAGCAGTGGAGCCCTCTCCCAAGATGAGACCCACTCCAATTCCCCCAACACTCCTGACTCATCCAGGTGCTGACCATCCCCTGAGTTCAGAGCTACTGCTCTGTACACAGGGCTCACTCAAAGGCATTTAGGTGCACAACAGCCATCCCACACACAGCTGCTCTGGGCACCTGGGTGACAACAAGCTCTCCAACCCACTGCAAAGCCACCAGGAAATGGGGCAGGCACTCACCCAGCCCAGCTCCAGATCCCAAGTACCTCCATTGCCCCAGGGAAGGGGCTCAGCCTCCCCTTGCCGCTCTGTCATTAGCTCCAGGCCAGGCTGCCTGCACTGGGTACCATGGCATCCCATCTCTTCAGCACAGGGCCCTGCACAGAGAGCACATGGTGAGGGAGAGGGCCATGGCCACCCTGCACCCCAGACATGGAAGTTCCTTCCCCTACATGTTCCTACACTGCCCCCAGCCCCTTACCTTTCTCCACTTTCTTGTCCCTCTTCTTCCTCTTTTTGCAGTTTCGCTTGGGCATCACCTTGAACTCCTGGAGGTCCAAGGTCCCCAGTGTCACTTCCACAGTCTCCAATTCCCCTGCAGGGCTTTCTTCCTCCTCTTCTGCCTCCTCCTCTGGTGCTGAGGGGGGCTGTAAGACAGGGGCTGAGGCCCCCCCCACACCACGAATCACTGGTCTCAGCCAAGCACACCCTGCCCTTCTGCCCAGCACAAGGTCCCACCCCACAGATCCCCACTGTGGTGCCAGGCCCTGTCACAGGGCTGCAAGTCTGGTCCTGCATCTTAATACCAGATCCCCCTGCTTGCTCAGAGACACATCTCCTTCCATGGTCAGCTCACCACTCATGTCCTCTTGCGGGGGATCCACCTCTGCTTTATGCCGCCTCTTCTGCCAGCCCTTCCGGGGGGACCCAGTGATATCCTCCAGTGGCGTGTCCTTCCCTGGGCAGCAAGAGTGCTCCTGTCATTGCCTGGGGACTCCATGTCTCCAGGGATTGAGGGTTGGAGACCTAGCACCTCTACCCCATCGGGCAGCACCCCCTAGTGCACAAGGGACCACATCACCCCACCTGCTCTGACCCACAGTCTCTGGGGCTGGTCAAACTCACCATACACCTGCAGGCTGGCCAGCACGCTGTGGACTCGCAGCACCTCTCGCAGGGTGGGCCTGCGGGTGCTGAGGGGGATGTGGAAGATGCGAGGGTCCCCCAAGGTGAGGGGTGGGTTCCTGCCACTAAAGAGCAGTGCACGGTTGTGACGAGGGGCCCGGAGGAAGATGCGCTGAGCTTCATTGAGGTGCTGTGCCCAGGCCAACAGCAGGTCCTGAATATCCTGGGGAGGAAGGGGAGGCGCTGTGGAGTACTGAGCACACTGCGTGGATACAGGTAGCCCTGGAGCAGGGACAGACCCAGGACAGAGCAGCGTTGTGGTGCCCATCCAAGCTCTCCAGCAGCGTTGTGGTGGCACCTCTCAAAGCCAGCCACAGCCATGTCTCCCTGCCCAAAGCCCCGTGGTGTGGTGCAGCCTCACCTTGAGTAAGGCAGCCTCATTGTAACGCCGCAGGGAGGCTCCAGCTGACCTGGGTGCCGACCCTGGGGTGTGGGCATCCCGCAGGCTCTGGGCTGTGCCCCGCCGGGCTCGCACTGTGTAGCGGTGGAATGTCTTGTGCTCCTGCACCTGGGGGCTGTGCAGAGGGGCAAGCATGAGCAACATGGCCCATTCATGCAAAGGAGCTGATGCTCCTGGGACCCTGGAGGGCTTGTGGCTTGTCCCTGGTGTCCTAAAGATTAATATTTCTTTAGCAGCACAACTGGGTTTAGCCAGCTTTCAAGCAAAGACTGGCAGCTGTGGGTGCCCACGGTGTGGTAAGCACTGTGACAAAGGAGTGCATGGGGGGGTGGCCATCCAATGCCCAGTGCCTTTGACCACGTTCAGAGGGGCAACCCCAACTCTGTCCCCCTGTACTCACCCTCGGAACACAGCTCCTGCAAAGTGCCCGCCACCCATCATCAGCACAACCCAGCATGTGCTCGCATGGAGGCTCTGCAGTGATGCTGCCAGCTCCACTGGCTCCTCGGTGCCACCCTGATACAGAGACACCTTTGCTAGCACGCATGGGTTCGCCTTGTTACCTCTTGGTGTCCCCCAGGATAGAGACCAACCCATCTGCCGGCACCAGAAGCAGGTTTCTGGAGCAGCTCAGCATTAAAAACCAGACCACCAGCAAGCCTAGGGCTTTGACTTGATACCACAAACCACCCTTCCCATCATGGCACGTGGGGAGGTACTGCCAGACAGACGACTACACCCCAATGCCACCTATCTCCTCTGGGGTCCCTCTCCCAACAACCTGGGCTGTGACTTGCCTTCCCGGTGCCCAGCACGCAGCGGTAGGCAGAAATGAGCTGGCCCTTCGCATTGCGGAACAGCACCTTGTTGGAACGTGGGATCTGGAGGGTCCCAGGGCTGTTGCTGGCAGAGGGCAGCAACTCTGACTCACTGCTTGAATAAGAGTTCTCTGAATCAGACCCTGAGATGCTAGAGACACTACCTGCAAGGGAGAGAAAATGAAGCACTAGAGCCACGCAAAGGTTAAACAACAGCGTCCCCAACATTTTGCTAGCCCACAACCCCGGACACGTCCTGTCCAATACCCTACGTATCACAAGGGGGCTGTGGATACAGGGGTCTGAGGCTCCAGCCCAAAGACTCCCTGCCTAGGCAGAGGCTGAGGTAGAACACCCTCTTCTCTCCATAACAAGTAGCAGGGTTTGGAGCAGTGCTGCATTCCCACAAAACTCCAGAGGGGCAGAATAAAGGGACTCTGAGCCAGCAGAGGTAGCCAAAGGTTTCACCACTGCAGAGAGTGGTCACAGCAAGGCTGCTGACGGCCCCCGGGCTCTGCTGGGATGGCTCCATTCCTCACCTGCACGGGTCTTCTCCTCAAACGCTTCCACCGGCAATGTCTGGCGCCCCAGGAGCCGCTGCTTTAGGTTGAAGCGATGCCAGTCGAGACGGTAGTGCTCAGTCTATGGAAGAAGGAGGTATGAGCCAGCAGGGTCTTGGTCCATGGAAACCCCGACCACCAAAGGGCCTGAGGTGGCAGACCCTAAGGGCTGAAGTGATGCTTGGACCCTACAGTGATCCAGACTGGAAGAGTATGGTACATTAAGGAGTTAGCCACCTAACAGTTAACCTGAAAAGGCATAGGCTGGTGCTGCATGTACTGTTTACCTCCAGTAAATGACATTTTAGGCAATAACATGTAGCATTTAAGTGCCAGATCCCAACAGGACATAGCCAGTGGAGCTCTGGGAAGCAGGCAGCATTGAGCTGCACCATGCTGGGGCTGAGCCTCTGCAGTAGGACCCCACCACCCTGCTCCTGCCTTATGCTGGCTTCTCAGCCCCACTCACCTGCTCCTCCCGGCTGCTGAACACTTGCTCACAGGTGGAGCAGCACATCCGCTCTGGCACCGCATGGACCCCATGGGCTTTCTCCTCATTGTCAGCGGCTGTGGGTTTGTCTGGAAGAAGGAGGGAAGGCTGTGCACAGGTGGCTCCCCAGGCTGCACTGCAAAGAGCAGGGCCTCCTGGATCTCTTTTCAGCCACAAAAAGAGCCCTACGGCTGTAGAACGAACTTGGGGACCTTGGTACCCATCCACCAGGCAGCTCCCATGCTCCAGAATGGCCACTCAAGCTGTGCTGGGGACAGAGCTTCTCTATGGCCGACAGGAGCTTGGGCGCACACTCCACCCCCCGCTGCCCCGCGGAGCCCCACGCACCGTGGCTCACCGGTGCCGGCTCGGCGCCCCAGGCCTCCGCAGCAGCTCCCGTCAGGAGAGTGAGCCCGCGCAGCAGGACGGCGTCCTGGGCGGCCTCGAAAACCGACCTGCTCTCCGGGGCCGCCATCGCTCCTGCTCCCCACGGAACGGACAGCGCCTGAGCCACGGGCCTGCACCCGGGTCCGGCGAGAACCACCCGCAGGTGACCGGGCGGGCCCCGTACCCCCGCCTGACCCGGGTCCCCCCCGCGGTCAAGCCCCGCGGCGTCTCTGCGGCGGGACCCACCCACAGCCTCTGTCCCCGGGATCCCCCCATCCCGTTACTGCCCCAGGGCCGTTACCGCCGCGATTCCTCCTTTGTCCCCCAGCGAAGCTGCTGACCCCATGGACCGAGCGAGCGCGACCCACACCCCCCCCCCCGCCGCCGGTAAAGGGGATATGCACCCCGTCACTCACGTGCAGCCACCACCCGGAAGCACCACTCAGCTGTCAAACGTCACATCCCGCTAAGCTCAGCCCCGCCTCCCGCTCGCCGCCTTCTCATTGGCTGTGCCCTGACCCACCCCGCGGCTGCCATTGGGTGTCGCTGCTGTCAGTCACAGAGCAGGCGGGGGCCGAGCGGGCTGGGCCCGGGCCCGGGGCCGGTGGCGGTGGGCGGCCCCGCCATGGCCCAGTTCGAGACGCAGTACCAGCGGCTGGAGAGTTCCTCCACCGAGTCACCGCCCGGTGGCGGCGACCTGCTCGTCCACGTCCCCGAGGGCGCCAAGTGTGAGCGGCGGCATCGGCACCGGGGGTTGGGGCCTGGCAGCCGGCGGCGGGGGGCGGCGGCCCAAGCCTGAGGGGAGTGGCAACGGGAGGCGTGAGGCAGTGGAGGCCTTGGGAACGGGCCAGGACCGGGCTGCGGGGGGCTGGTGTAGGTGGCTGGGATGGGGGAGCAGCCGGGGACCGAGGGGGAGGCTGGTCGCGGGCTGTGGGGCCGGACGGGGGCCTCGAGGGCCCGGGAGAAGGTGGGGCTGTGCCTGTCACAGCAGCAAGGCTGCTGTTCCGGAGGGCCCCTCACCCTTTGTGCTTCTTCCGTCAGCTCCGTGGCATCACATCGAGAACCTGGACCTCTTCTTCTCTCGCATATCCTTTCGCAGGGCTGGGGGCACCCACCACCTCCTGGGCTCACAGTGCTGGTGGGAAGCCTGGGGCTTGGTGTGACCCGGAGCTGGGGCAGCGCTTGCCCCTTCCCTTAGGACACCACACGGCTCTGGAGGAATTGGGGGCTGGGTGAATGCCCATACCTGTGGGGTGCTGTCACCCAACAGTGAGAGGACAGACAGGTTCTTTTAGGGATGGTGCACAGAACTACTAAGTTATAGTTACAGTTAAACCTTTATTTTCTTACCAGGGTTTTATTATTAGCATACCACAGCATTTATAATCAGAGTAGCACAGCAAGCAGAATCAGTGCAGTATAACTTTACAAACAGCATAGTGCACTGCTTAGCTTATGGTTTTTAATCACCAGAGCTTTCTGCAGGCTGGGTCATATCTTAGTGTGTGGTTTGCTGCATCAGTATAACAATCATAATCTATATTCAAAAACCATATAAAAGAATACGAGTCACTCAGTTGCTGGAGGAAGCAGATGACTGTGGGAGCATCCTGTTTGCTGGAGGCTCCTGGGTTTTGCTGTCCAGCAGCAGTTCATGTCCAAGTTCCCACTTAGGACTTGTAACTCCTTGATTTTGTGGATAGTGCTCCAGGTGCTGTTACAGTTCCCTGTTCTGTGATGGGGTTGTCGCTGCCACCTTGCTGGCTGGGTGCCTGGGACCTTCAAGGCCAGTATGGAAGGGAGTAATCAGCTTGATGCTCTGGAATCTTGAGGCTGGTGTGGAGGGGAAGGAGAAATCTGTTTGGTTTGTCTACCTGGTTCACAGGCCCTTCAGGGCCTGATAATGGAGAAAGGGAACTAATGGGTGACCTGCTCAGTCACAGAGAATGCTGCTGGCCTTATAAAATGGCATTAGTTATGCACTGGGGAGGTGCAGATGCCAGTGGGCCAGAAGCCTCTCCCTGCTTCGTCAGAGAGCAGGAGTCTCCAGACTGTTTTCCTTGACTGTGGCTTTCACGTCTATAACCTGCATCAGAAGAATGGCTTCACTTGCATGCTCATTGGAGAGATCTTTGAGCTCATGTAAGCGTAGGTTCCTTCTGTGTTGTGTCTGTGACAGCTGCTGGAGAGCAGCCACAAGAATTTGCTGAGCTCCTGCAGCTGGGTAGGAGGGAAGGCTCCCTTTATAGTTGTCCTGTCTCCTCTTTGCTATGATTTTCATGCCCCAAACCTGCATTCCACTTTGTGGAGCTTGCGCCCATGAGCTTTCCTACCGCCATGGTTGTGGGAATGCATCTCCATGATGTGTAACTCTAGCCGCTTCACATTTTGGGAGGCAGAAGGATGATTCCCTGATGCCTGCTCCCTTTTTTCACAGGCAGTTCATCTTTGTGGTGGCATTCACCACCTTTCTTATCAGCTGTGTTGATTACGACATTCTCTTTGCCAACAAAGCTGTAAATCACAGCCAGCATCCCAGTGAACCCATTAAGGTGACTCTGCCAGATGCTTTCCTGCCTCCAAATGTCTGCAGTGCAAGGTAGGGGCAGCAGAGGGCATGTCGGCCAATACTCTTGCTTTCTCAGGTACTCGGGGCACTTGCTTGAGCCTGTCTCCTACTACGTGTTTCTTCTTGCTCACAGAATCCAGGCAAACAGCTTCCTCATCTGCATCCTGGTGATAGCTGGGGTTTTCTGGATCCACCGACTTGTCAAGTTTATCTATAACATTTGCTGCTACTGGGAGATTCACTCTTTCTACATCAATGCCTTGAAAATACCCATGGTAAGTAGCTGGGCCAAGGGCCATGTATGATGCTGCTAAGGGATGCAGGAGGCATTTGTTGGCTGGTTAGAAGTAGCTCATTCTTTCTGCCCAAGGCCAGCTTCTCTGGGAAACCTCTTCCTTCTGCTCCCTAACTGCACTGATCTCCTTTGAGTCTCTTCTCCAACAGCCAATTTATACCATGTTAACCCCTCTGCCCAGCTTGCCTCTCTGCTGCTGGCACACTTCTCTGCCATCTGCTACTCAATATGTTTATTTTTCAGTGATGGCCTTTTCTGTGATGCCTTTCAACAGAGAAAGCATAAGCAAGGGTATTCTCATACCTCCCTGGATTGAGGACAGGTCATCTTCCTGGTTTACTGGGGTGGGGGGAAACCAAGGCATAGGGCTACTTCACTGGTGAAGATCACACAGGAGATCAGTGTGTCAAAGATGGACTCTGAGGGTTGCACATATATCCTAGTCCAGAGTCCTTGCTCTGATGAACAACATCATCCTTTGAGCAGAGACTGTGTCTTGAGAAAGGTGGTGTGAGCCAAGAGGCTTGGTTGCTCTCTGTGTTTTTCACAGGCTCCCTCTGGGACACTGCTTAATTCCCTTCCCCTGTTTGTGTCTTCCTGTTAACTAAATGGCAGCTCTGGGAGGACCCATGGGAGCTGGAGCTCTGTTCATGCCACTGAGGCAGCTGGTGTGTGAGTGACTTGGAAACAGTCCTCTGTACTAATGTAGGTGTAAAGGGCAGTGGGGCAGAGTATGGGTTTTAGATGCTGCAGGCTGAAGGGATGCAGGAGGTGCTTTGTGTGCTGGTGGGGCATGTGAATGCCGTGGCGTGCACTGGGACATGCTGTTTGAGAGGGCTCAGCCCAACTTCTGTCCCAGGACTCATCCTGCCCTAACCTTGCCCCTTTCCCCCTTCCAGTCCACCCTGCCATACTACACATGGCAGGAGGTGCAGGCCCGCATTGTGCAGATCCAGAAGGAGCACCAGATCTGCATCCACAAGAAGGAGCTGACGGAGCTGGACATTTACCACCGCATCCTCCGCTTCAAGAACTACATGGTGGCCATGGTGAACAAGTCACTGCTGCCTATCCGCTTCCGCCTGCCCCTGCTGGGAGACACCGTCTTCTACACGCGGGGGCTCAAGTACAACTTTGAGCTCATCTTCTTCTGGGGGCCTGGTTCCCTCTTTGAGAACGAGTGGAGCCTGAAGGCTGAGTACAAGCGGGCTGGGAACCGCCTGGAGCTGGCTGAGAAGCTCAGCACTCGCATCCTCTGGATCGGCATTGCTAACTTCCTCCTCTGCCCCCTCATCCTCATCTGGCAGATCCTCTACGCCTTCTTCAGCTACACAGAGATCCTGAAACGGGAGCCGGGCAGCCTGGGGGCCCGCTGCTGGTCTCTCTATGGCCGCTGTTACCTCCGTCACTTCAATGAGCTGGACCACGAACTGCACTCGCGCCTCAGCAAAGGGTACAAGCCAGCTTCCAAGTACATGAACTGCTTTATCTCCCCGCTCCTCACCATCGTGGCCAAGAACGTGGCCTTCTTTGCTGGCTCTATCCTGGCTGTGCTCATCGCTCTCACCATCTATGATGAGGATGTGCTGGCGGTCGAACACGTCCTGACCACGGTCACCCTGCTTGGGGTGGGCATCACGGTGTGCAGGTGAGGTGGGTCTGTGCTGCCCCTGTGCTTCAGGCAGCGCTGTGTGGGGAGCAGTGGGGCTGACAAACATCCATGTAAAATGCTCTTTGGTGGCAAGTGGATGTGAATCTGCCTGAGTGAAGGGCATGGCCTTGGAGAGTCAGGGGGCAGGCAGGAGAAGGGGGGATAGTGGTGAGCTTGGGTGCAGTGGTTGTACGCCAGTGGCACCCTGGGGTGTATTAGAAGGGGGATGGTTAGTAGGTCGAGAGAGGTTCTCCTTCCCCTCTGCTCAGCCCTGATGAGACCTCATCTGGAATATTGTGTCCAGTTCTGGGCCCCTCAGTTTAAGAAGGACAGGGACCTGCTGGAGAGAGTCCAGCGCAGGGCAACTAAGATGATTACGGGAGTGGAGCATCTCCCTTATGAGGAAAGACTGAGGGAGCTGGGTCTCTATAGTTTGGAGAAGAGGAGATTGAGGGGTGACCTTATTAGTGTATATAAATATATAAAGGGGGAGTGTCACGAGGATGGAGCCAGGCTCTTCTCAGTGGCAAACAATGATAGGACAAGGGGCAATGGGTACAAACTGGAACACAAGAGGTTCCACTTAAACTTGAGAAGAAACTTCTTCTCAGTGAGGGTGACAGAACACTGGAACAGGCTGCCCAGGGAGGTTGTGGAATTTCCTTCTCTGGAGACATTCAAAACCCGCCTGGACACGTTCCTGTGTAACCTTATCTAGGTGTTCCTGCTCCAGCAGGGGGATTGGACTAGATGATCTTTTGAGGTCCCTTCCAATCTCTAACATACTGTGACACTGTGATACTGTGATACGGGGATGTTGCTGGAGCTGTTCAGCAAGAACCTGGGGCTGGGCTGGCAGGGAGGTTTGACTTGGGTGTGAAGGCTATAGCTGGAGCTGTGATAAGGGCTGCCCTCCAAAAAAGTGAGGTGTGATGCTATGGTGTTTCCCTGTCCTGTCCTACAGGTCTTTCATCCCTGACCAGCACCTGGTATTTTGCCCAGAGCAGCTGCTGCGAGTCATCCTGGCACACATCCACTACATGCCTGACCACTGGCAGGGCAATGCCCACCGCTACGAGACCAGGGACGAGTTTGCCCAGCTCTTCCAGTACAAAGCGGTGAGCTTGACTAGTGTGGGGTTGGGATGGGGACTCGCCTACATCCTTGCAGAAGGGAGAAGCTGCCACAGAGCTGAGCAGCTCCTGGACTTGTAGAGGACAAGGCAGCTTTCTCAGAGACACCCTGCCCTAGAAGATAGAGGGCTGGAGCTGTGGTCTGGCTTTGGGACTGTGGGGTTTTGACATCCTCAAACTTGTGCTGATCCCATTATCTCTGTGCTCAGGTCTTCATCCTGGAGGAGCTCCTGAGCCCCATCATTACCCCCCTGATCCTCATTGTCTGCCTGCGACCCAAGTCCTTGGACATTGTGGACTTCTTCCGCAACTTCACTGTGGAGGTGGTGGGTGTGGGTGACACCTGCTCCTTTGCCCAGATGGATGTGCGCCAGCATGGCCACCCTGCGGTAGGTCCCACCACCATGGGACAGCAGCCTGGGCTCCCCACCAGCACCTCTGGTCCTTCAGCCTCATGGGAGCCTGTAACTCGCCATTCCTGGCTGCTCACAGCCCAGTCACCTGCATCTCTGCTGGGTGTCTGGGGATGCCAGCACAGGTCACCAGCCCCAGAAGGCTCTTGTGGCCTAGCTGTGATCATTAACCTGATATTTTGTGAACCAGGCTTTGTCATTTCATTATTTGATGTTGTTGCCTGTCTTCACAACCAAGAGTCTTGTGTCCTCAGGAGAGAGGAATTGAGATACTTGGACATTTGGAAAGCATGACCCCTGAGAATTGATTTAATGGAGCTGGACTGCCCAGGAGAGAGGCAGCCTTGGGGAGATGAGAAGCATTTTCCATTGTGTAAAATCTAGTGTGGAGTGAAAGAGGTTCTATCTATTTTCTGTGCCTCGGAATTTAGGTTACTTGTCAGGAAAAACTCCCTAGTGACAAGGCCATGAACTAGGGAGGGGGTGGACTCTCTGTGGCAGGAAGCTTTTAAGAACAATCATTTGTTGGCTGTTGTTGCTCCTACTGCAAGCTGGAGAGTGCAAGACAAGGCTTTCAGCTCTGTGCTTTGTGACTAGTCCCCTTATCTCCACTTTCCTTGCAGCAATGCATGTTCTGGGTGGAGGTGGAAGATGCTGTGCTTGCTGCTTCTTCCCCAGGCTGTGAGGGCTGAACTAGCGTGGACTTCTGGTGTAGCACCTGCTACATATGGAGCTGTGGCCCAGCTTATGCTGGGTGTTGTATGCTTTGCCCAGATTGATTGCAGGATCCCCAGGCTTGGCAGAGATGTAAAGCAGATCCTGTCCCTCACTACCTGTCTCTGCTTCACAGTGGATGTCAGCAGGAAAGACGGAGGCCTCCATTTACCAGCAGGCCGAGGACGGCAAGACAGAGCTGTCCCTCATGCACTTTGCCATCACCAACCCCAAGTGGCAACCACCTCGCGAGAGCACAGCCTTCATCGGCTTCCTGAAGGAACGGGTGCACCGGGACAGCAGTGTGGCACTGGCTCAGCAGGCTGTGCTGCCTGAAAATGCCCTCTTCAGCTCCATCCAGTCCTTGCAGTCGGAGTCGGAGGTGCCCAGGCTGGGGGAGGGAAGTGGGGTGTTCTTGGGGTGCTTGCTGGGTGCTGGCAACCTGATAATTAGGCTCTGTGGGGATTTTGTACTTGTCTGGGTTGTATCTAAGGATACAGACGTGGTACATCAGCACTAGCGGGGATGCTTTGGGGTTTCTGGAGAGGGCAGCAGGCTGTGCTGGGGCCCTGTGAGGTGGGAAAGGGGCTGAGAGAGCTGAGGTGCCTCAGTCCTCTGTCAGTGCCTGGGATCAGGTCTCCGAGTCTGCACAGGACATTGATTCTCTCCCTTTCAACTCTGCAGCCACACAGCCTGATTGCCAATGTAATAGCAGGCTCCTCAGCACTGGGCTTCCACATGGGCCGGGACGGACAGGCCTCCCGCCACCTCTCCGAGGTGGCCTCGGCCCTGCGCTCCTTCTCCCCTCTTCAGTCTGCCCTGCAGCCTTCCGGTGGCTTCCAGACAGCAGGAAGGGATGGAGAGGGAGCCCAGCCTCGTGGCGCTGGTGTCATGACAGCCTCTGGGTAAGCTGCAGACTGGAGAGGGGTGGGCCAAACACCTTGCAAATCTCATTACTCCTTGCCCAGGTGCCACTCTGTTGTCCTAGGTGCATGGTGGCATTTGTCTCTGCAACCTGGGACAGCAGGGGACATACTCACAAGCAGAGTTAGGCTGAGATGCTTAGGCAGGCCCCAAAGGAGTGCGGGGGTTCTGGTGTTCTCCTGTAGGTACCACAGTGGTGAGAAATTCCTGGTAGGGCAGAGGCAGTGCCACTGAAGGGCTGTTCATCTTGTGCACCTGGGGAGATGCCACAGAGGGCTTGTTCCTACCCAGCCCAGGAGCAAGCCTGACATGAGAGTGGAGGGAAGATGGGCAGTGTGGGGGGTACCTGGGTATCAAACACCACTTGTGTGTCCGATGGCAGTGCTGATGCGAGGACTGTGAGCTCAGGGAGCAGCGCCTGGGAGGGTCAGCTGCAGAGCATGATCCTGTCGGAGTACGCCTCCACCGAGATGAGTCTCCATGCACTCTACATGCATGAGGTGAGCAGCCTGCGGCTGGGCCAGCCAGCGAGATGTGGAGCAAAGCAGGCAGAACTGGTGTGTGCCCTGTCTGAAGTGAGTGGGATGCTAATGTGAGTGAAAGCCAAGACCCGTGTGTGTGTGTGTGCAGTGCTGGGGAGAGGGTGTTTGGGCATCTGGGCTCTCCCCTACGGCTCACTCACCGCTGTGTTGGCCCGCAGTTGCACAAGCAGCAGGCTCAGCTGGAGCCCGAGCGGCACACTTGGCACCGTCGTGAGAGTGACGAGAGCGGCGAGAGCGCCCACGAGGAGCTGGACACTCAGCGTGGTGGCCCCGTCCCTATCCCTCGCTCTGCCAGCTACCCCTTCTCCTCATCGCGGCAGCCCGCCGAGGAGACAGCCACACTGCAGACTGGCTTCCAGCGGCGATATGGGGGCATCACAGGTATGGGAGCCAGGTCTGAGGTCAGAGCCCCATAACCAATGCCCTTGATGGACCGACGCGAGCAGCCTGCCTGCTTCTGGACACCAACAGTCCCCCAGGTAGCTAATGGTCCTTCTCGCCTCTCTTGCAGACCCAGGCACAGTACACAGAGCCCCATCACACTTCTCCCGCCTCCCTTTGGGAGGCTGGGCTGAGGACGGGCAGTCAGCGAGACACCCAGAGCCTGTACCAGAGGAGAGCTCAGAGGATGAGCTTCCACCGCAGATCCACAAGGTAGGGGTGAAGGCTGTGGCTGAGAGGGGCAGGGTATACTCTGGATGCAAGGTTGGGGTGCTGGCAGCTCGTCCTGACCGGTGCCACATTCCCTCTCTGTCTTGCAGGTGTAGCCTTGTAGACTGGGGATCTGATGGGGGTTACAGACTGGGAGCCGCCTGGGCAGCAGGACGTGGCGTCAGCCTGATGCTTCTCCTGTCCTGAGCGGTCAGGATCATCCCAGGCTCCGTTTTGTTGCCATCAGCTGCCGAAGAGACAAAACTGCCCGGCCAGTGGCTTTGTGGCAGCACCTCGTGTCCAGCCGTGTGTCAAGTCAACGCCACTCTGACTCTTGTGGGGTGAATGTGTGTGAGTACATACCCGTGTCTGTGGTCACATCTGTGTCGTCCGTGTTGGAGGATCGCTGCAGAACCTGCGAAAGCTAATGGGACAGGACTAGCAGTGGGGAGCTGTGGACTGGCTTGAGGTGGCTGCTATTCCAAGGGATGTGCCATGGCCCCAGCTCCACCTATCCGCTCCGAGCTGGGACTGGCCTCCAAACTGAAGGCAGGAGCTGTTGAAGGTGGTCTGACTCAGCCTGCAGCCCTGAGGAGGTGCCCAGGAGCATGTTCACCTTCCCAGAGAGGACCACCATTGTGCCCCTTAGCCTGGAGCAGGACAGCAGTGGGGCAGTCGCCCACCCTTCTGCCCCAGCACCCTGCAGGAGGATGAGCTCTGGTTGCTGCTGGTGTGGAAAGGGTTGGGATCTAGAGCTGGTGGGAACAGCTCTGGCTGGGATGCAGGGATGCTGCAGCTCTTCCCCAGCTCCCACAGCAGCTGGACCAACCCCTGCACCCAAGGAAGGGTCAGTGGGGTTAAAGTCCCGGGTCCCTGACATTCCTCCCAGCGGGTCCCCTCGTGCCATATCCCTGTGCTAGGGCAGTAGCATCCTCCCCACTGTGTGTCACCTGTGGGATGTGGGCTGCCCATGGGCTCTTCTGCAGTGCCAGAGACCCTAGTGCAGAGCAGCTGGCATCTCCCACCCTGAAGGCCTTGTGCTCTGTGTATGGGTGCCCTTCTCAGGCACGCTAAAGGTCTTTGCCACATGCACAAGGCTGTGGTGTGTTGGGTCTGTCCTCCTGATGCAGCTGTTTCTGTGGTTTTGGGCCTTTCCTCTTCCCAAGCAAAGGCTTCAGTGTCTCATATGTCACCTGGGGGCTCCTAGCTCTTCTTTCCTTCCTGAAGCCATCCTTTTGCTTGCAACATGGCTTTGGCTGCTCTGGAGGCCATATATCAAGCAGCTGTCTGATGCCTGGTGGGGCAAGGAGGAGTCCCCTCAACCTGGGAGTGAATGGCAAACCCCAGCCTGGCCTTGGTAAGGCTAAGGGGGGATCAGGATGCTGGCTGTGCAGCATGGCCTTGGACAAGCCCTTCCCACCATCATTCTGGTTCCCCTCTCTTCCACTGACAGCTTGTGAGGATCTGCATCCCAACTAACCCCTGCTAGGCTTTGCTTTCCCCTCCCTCCCTTTTCTCCTTGCCTTGCACAAGGGCTGCTTGCTTTTGCCATGCCCTCTGAGGGCACTGCAGGTTCTTCCCTGCCCTTCCTGGAGTCCAGGGCCACCTCTTTTCCCTGCCCTTTGAGCCTGTGCAGGGTGGTGCTGGTGAGCTGTCGGCTCCCCAGGGTATATACGTACCAAGTGCGCAGGGCATGAGTAGGGCTAGGGTGTGCATAGGGCAGGCTCTTTGTGGGTGCTGAACTCCCTGCTGCAATGGGGAGACACAGACTGGAGCTGCAACTGCTCTGATGGCTGTAGGAGTCCAAGTGGAGCGTGCGAAGCAGAGCTTGGGGAGGACCTGCTCTTTGCTGCTGGGGTCAGGTCTGAGCGGAGCTGGTGCTGCTGGTGTCCTCCCACAGAGGAGCAGCTGGGGCTTATCACTGTCACGGCAGATGGAAACTGAAAGCAAATCCCCTGGCAATGCGTTTGTTTGCCCATGGGCACCCAAGCTTTCCCCTGCCCCCTAGGCTGCCACTGCCTGGAGCTGAGCCTCCGGGGGCTGCAGGACCCTGCACCAGGGTCTCTGTGCTGAGCGGCTCAAGGCCGGCAGGGCCCAGTGAGGCGGGGAAGTCTGGGCCTCTCCCTGGGCTAGCAGGAGGCAGCAGCCGGGTGGGAGCACGCCGGAGCCCTTGCCGCATGTTGTGCTTGTGTCGTCGGTGTCCCATGTGCATGGCGAGCCGCCCCCCCTCCCTCACCTCCTCCCGGGGGTTTGCGGGTGCGGGGGACCCTGGAGCGCGCGGTACCGCCCCCCCCGCGCCCTTGCTGTACAGCTGTATAGCCGTCTAATAAAGATGGGGTGTATCATCCCTGCCTGCCTCCGAGTCTCCTTCACCCTGCGCCGCTGTGCACCCCGCCGGGCCCTGGACACGGCCGGGTGGGGCGCCCGGAGCTGGTGCCTGTGATAGCAGCCGGAGGCGGCGAGGTCTGTGCCTGCTGCTCCCGCTGTGCTGGCAGCTCCCTGGAGCCGGCCGTGCCGGTGCAGGGAGGGGGGTCAGCCGCTATATTTATCTCCAGGAGGGCAGCGCCCCGTCCTGTCTGACCTCTGCGGCGGCAGGGCCCTGCCGGGGCGGCGGCGGGTATCTGAGCATCGCAGAGCCGCGCTGGCGGCACCGATAAGCGGCCGCGGGGCGCCTCACTTCGGCTTCGGGGACTGGTCCTGAGCTCCCGTTCTCCCCGCACCACTGACACCCCCAGCCCCGGCTCTGCAGGGGCCCGGTGCCGGGGGGGGCGGGGAGGCGGTGCGCAGGTCCGTGCAGCCCGGGCTGGGCACCGGGGACCGGAGGGGCACACACGCACCGGGGGATGCGGTCGAGGGGAGCGTGCGGGGGGGCACCTCCGTCGCAGGAGCGGGGCAGGCGCGCAGGAGCGGGGCGGGGAGCGGGGCGGGGCGGAGCGGAGCGGGGACGGAGCCGGGCTGGTGGCGGCTGGCGGCGGCGCGGAGCCCGGAGCGGGCCGAGGCCGGCGGGCCCGGGCAGGTGAGCGGGAGGGGGCCTGGGCAGGGCGTCTGGGCCGGTAACGGCGCTGAGCGGGCGGCGGGGCCGCGGCCGTTACGGGAGCGCCTGCCCCGGTACCGGTCCCGCAGAGCCCTGCACGGCCCGGCCTCGCCCCGGCCCGTCCTTCGCCCCGCACGTGTGCCCCCCCCTCCCCCGTGCGTGTCCCCGGCCTTCCCCCCTGCAGCTCCCCCGCGTTTCCCCGCGCATTCCCTGCCGTTACCCGGCTGCCGCTGCGCTGCCCCCCCTCCGCTCTAGCCTGGTCCCAGCGCCTCGCTGCCTTCCTGTCCCTGCCCTCCTTGTCCCAGTGCATCTCCAAGGGCCCCGATGGCTCTGGGGAGCACAGTGCAAAGCTGCATCCTCCCGGGCATTGCCAGGCCCCACAGGCAGGTTCTGGTGGTGCTCATATCCATCTCCATACAAACCCGGCCCTGCATACAGTGTGTCCAGCGGTGCTTGCCCCTGTCCCCGTGTCCCTGTTCTCTCTGCTTAGCTGTGCCATCCTGCCGTGGGCCCCTTCTTTCAGCAGTACTCAACAGCTCATCCTGAGACATTCCTCCCACCCCTCTTCTCTCTGCAGCTGCTGACCTGCCAGGATGGCAGTCCTGGGGGGCTTCTGTGAGGGCAACAACTCCATTGCCCAGGCCTGGGTCCAGCAGGGCTTCCAGCCCTGCTTCTTCTTCACACTGGTACCAACCGTGCTGCTGAGCATCTGCCTGCTGCTGGGTGCCCTGCAGTACGCCTGCTATGTCCGCTTCGGCCGTGCCATGGAGCCCAAGTACATCCCCCGCTCCCGCCTCTACCGTGGCCAGGTCCTGCTGTCCCTGCTCCTGGCCCTGCAACCCTTTGGAGGGCTGCTGTGGCAAGCGGTGGGGCCAGGACGGCTCTACGGGTACATGCTGCTGCACGCCTGCCTCTGGGCTCTCAGCTGGAGCTGCACCATCGCCCTCCTGCAGCTGGAGCACACACGGGTGCTGGCACACGACCGGATACGGGGCCATGGCACCATCCTCCTCCTTTTCTGGGCCCTGGCCTTTGCTGCTGAGAACCTCACCCTGGTGTGCTGGAGGAGCCCACTGTGGTGGTGGGCGGTGGAGAACACCAACCAGAAGGTGGTCTGGGGGGCTATGGGCAGGGACGGGGGGCAGGCCCTTGGTAGAGAGGAAGAGGGGGCTGCAGCATCGGAGTGCTGGGGTGGGGTGTGTGTGCCCTGCCATGCCCAAGGGTGTGCATGCTCCTGGGTTGCACCCACTCATCCGCTGCATGTCTCAGCCCGGAGCCCAGCTATCACACATCTCTCCATTCCCCCAGTCCGGCTCAACTCCCTCTTCTGCCTGGCCCAGGCCCAGATGCAGGAGTGGGGAGTGTCTGCCTGCTCCCCACAGCCCTTTGCCCCACTGTTCCACCCCAGGGTAGGGACACCAAAATCTGGAGGGCACAGAGCTGGATGCAGCAGGGAGGAAGGAAATGGCCAGGGTGTTCCCTGAGGTGCTGTGCTCAGACAGGGGGTCCCACTGAGCTGCATGGGGTGTCCCCTCTTCCCTGGCTGCACTTCACCCCATCCCTGTGCCCTGCTCCGTGCCTCTCTCAGCTCATATTCATCTGACTCCCTACTCTCTGTCCAGGTGCAGTTTGGCTTCTGGCTGCTGCGTTACGTATGCACATTCATGCTCTTCATCTTGGGCATGAAAGCCCCGGGGCTGCCCCACAAGCCCTACATGCTGCTGGTCAATGAGGAGGAACGAGACGTGGAGAACAGCCAGGTGAGTCCCAGGTCTGGAGCAGTTTAGGGACATGGCCAGAGGGGAGCTGGGGATAAAATGGACCTACAGCAGTCTGGGATCAGCACCTTCCTTCCTTCAGGCAAGATTAGGGCTGCCCAAGCTCCCTGACCACTGTCAGCGGGATGCAGCCCTGAAGGGGGACCCTGGGAGGATGGGGCTGGTGTTCCCCAGGGCTGCCGCCGGCTGGGCTGAGGTGCCAGGGCAGTGATCCCTTGCTCTGCTCTCCCCCAGCCGCTCCTGTCCGATGGCAGCAGAACCTCCTCCACCTGGAAGGATTTCCGGAGGAAGCTGCGCCTGCTGGTGCCATACATGTGGCCGAGGGGCAGTCACCTGCTGCAGGGACTGGTGCTGTTCTGCATGGCACTCATGGGGCTGGAGAGAGCCATCAATGTCTTCGTCCCCGTCTACTACAAGAACATCGGTGAGGCGCCTAGGGCTCAGTGTGTGAGGCTGCGCATAGCCTCACCAAGTGATGGGGGGTGTTGCAAGTGACGTGGGGGACTACAGGGACCTTGCAGGAGCAGGTTCCAAGGGCCAGGGACCGGTGCTGGGCTGGTTCCCAC